CAATTATTAAAGGTCCTCGGGACACTTGTATACGTTGATCAGAGTCTATCCTTTTTATAACCTCTTCATAAAAAGTTCATCATCGCCTAAATATTGGAATGAAAAGGTTATTTATTCTACCCGGACCATATTAAAGATTTCATATTTTCCTAGAGAATATTGTAATTTTTGTTGAAATTGTGAAATTGTATAGCTTAAAACTATTTTATCGAAAAACCGTCGTCTTCATTGTTTCCGCGTAATTGTAACTCGGCTCTAAACTGTTAAGTGTTAAAACTTTATAAACAATTATTTTTACAGATAATAAATCGTGTCAAGCCAACGACCATGTCAGAAAGATAGTTTGTTAAAAATTATAGAACCTTGACCTTGACATCACATGATAATTCTCAGTCGTGACATCTTCATTAATTAAGACATGTGTTTCAACAATAAAGAACATTAATTAAGACTGAATAAAATTAATCAAGTGTACGTAATATAAAGCAATTGATTAATTACGACAGGAATTATTTAATCGTAAGTATAATAAATTAATTGATGCTTTTGTAACAAAGATGTTAATTAACTTAACCGTTAACAAATATGTGACGTCAATAGCATTGACGTGAGACGATGTCTTGAATTCGACGTGAATGATATATGTACTGAAACCCCTAATATAATATTAAGCTATCTGTCGCACTAGACTCCGTCCGCGTTAGAAAAAATTTAATTAGTAGCTTATGTGTTCCAAACTAAGTTCTACGTCTTTGTCTAATTTCAGGGAGATCAATGCAGCAGTTTTGAAGATATGTTCTAACAAACATCCATCCATCCCGGCATATAAACATTCGTATTCATAATATTAGTAAGATAAATGAATTAATTATAATTAAAGTAACTACTACTTAGATTACTTAGTATGTAAAAATGTAGTATATGTTTTACAATTATTTGTTCTTATTAATTTAAATATGGAAATAAAAAATTATGTTATTAATTATTTATTTAATAAAATAATACATTAATATATAAATTATTTAATGACAGTGCACATATATTATAAATAGAAACGATTATTAACTTTGTTACAATTATTATTTCAATAATTTAAAAAGTATTAAATATTAATTTCAATTATTTACTATTTACAATAAATAGTTATATTTAGGTAAAATATATTTCAATATGACTGAACAAATAAATACTGGATCCAACTATATATAACTATATATATACTGCTCAAACACATTCTCCGGTATGCCGATAATAAATGAAGCATGAATATCCGATTTTATGTCGCGATTCTGTATCGTGTAATTAGCCTTACCAATGTCATTTACTATTTATATTTAACATTTACCTTTTTAAGTCGTATTACTATATGCTAACCTTAAATCTCCCGCCCCCTGAGCAGGCTACATCCGCAAGTCAGTCCGGTGCAACCGCGTCACAGGAACTCGTGCAATGCAATGAATGCTCCCAGCCGCGTTTTTTCAAGGGACAAAGAGGTTTGCATATACACCAAAGTAGATGCCATAAGGGCCGGCAACCGTATGTAAGTAGCAATGAGAATTTGCATAATATAAATGGCAATGAACCCACCACCGAGGGTCCCTTATGGCAAAAATTAAATAACTTAAGGAGAAGCCTCCCCTTGGTAAAAAGAATCCCTCGCGGGGCTAGACGGTGTGTGGCGACCTCTTTGTCTTCCTGCGTCAGAGATGTCATCGACAAGAACGATAAACATAGCTGGGAGAATTTCCTGACATTCGCGTATAAAACGCTACATGTTAGCCAAGACAAACATGGAAGTTCCCTTGCACAAAAAATAAAAAACAACTGTTCCCCTAACTTTAGGCCTACTTTAGACAATATTCAGGAAAAACAAATATCATACAAAATTACAAAAAGAATTGAATCAAAATTTGATGAGGGAGACATTAAAGGTGCTGCCGACCTTTTATTTACTAGTGACGTCGTTGCTCCCAACTCACCAGAGACCTACGCTGCCTTGTTGTCTAAACATCCGCAACCTTTAGCAACAACTCACTTGCCGGATGCCCCCGAGCCTTCTGAGCGTACCCTCGAGGCTACACCAGGGGATGTACGAACCGCGATTATGACTTTCAGGAGGGGCTCTGCCGGCGGATTAGACGGTATGTCACCACAACACCTTAAAGATTTGATTTGTGGTGTTGTTGGTGACGTCGGCACTGCACTTCTGGAGGATTTGACCAGCCTCGTGAACCTTATGTTCTCTGGGAAGGTATGCAATGACATAATTGATGTGTTATATGGAGCCAACCTTTGCGCGCTTCGGAAAATGGATGGTGGCATCCGTCCAATTGCCGTAGGCAATGCAATTCGTCGTGTGGCCTCCAAAATCTGCTGCAGGCACATCCTGCTGGATTTGCAGCGGGATTTTCAGCCGACGCAACTAGGTTTTGGAACCAAGGGAGGGTGCGAGGTGGCTGTTCACGCTGCGCGCACCTTTCTCAAGCACGGCTTAAGCGAGGTGTTGCTAAAGGTAGATGTAAAGAATGCATTCAACTCATTGGACAGGGGCGTTTTGCTGACCCAGGCAAAGAACCATATACCACACACCTTTGCTTACCTCTGGCAATGCTACAGCGGATCAACCAGCCTCGCTTATAATGGTCAAGTGATACAATCCGCTGTTGGCTGTCAGCAAGGCGACCCTCTCGGACCGGCAATATTCAGTCTGGCAATACACCCCCACATCAAAAATTTGTCTTCAAAATTCAATATATGGTATTTAGACGACGGGACCTTGGGCGGAGACGCTACTTCTGTTTTATCAGATTTAGAAAAAATCACAAAATCGTTTAGTGATATTGGCTTACAGTTAAATTTTTCTAAATGCGAGTTGTATTTCAGCGAAAGGCTACCGGCAGAGTCTCGCCATGAACTAAATTCTAAATTTAATGTTTTGGCTCCTAATATTAAAATTATTAACGACCAATCGCTCCGTCTACTAGGGGCCTCGGTGCTGGAAGCAGCTTTCCCCAAAATTGTAGAGGATCAAATATTAAAATTTCAGGAATCTTCCAGCCGCCTAAAAGACATAAATCCTCACATGGCTTATTTTATTATAAAATTCTGTCTCTTTGTTCCCAAGACTACCTATACGCTTCGCTGTACACCGCTTTGGGCCCACAATGACCTTCTCTCTCGTTTAGATGACACGGTAAGAATAGCCTTAAACAGCACATTTAATTGTCCTTTAAACGATAGATGCTGGGCCCAAGCAACCTTACCGATTCGCCATGGTGGTCTTGGAATACGAAAAATTTCAAGTGTAGCACTGCCAGCCTTCCTGTCCTCGGTTCATAGCTCGGTTAACCTCGTTGGTAGCATACTAGGCCCGTCGCTCTGCGGCGTAGAGGTTGCCTGTTTGGCCGAGGCCAGGGATACCTGGCTTAGTGCAATCGGTCCAGACCTACCCCTGAACCTGGCTTCGCAGCGTCAGTGGGACGAGCCACTCTGCTTGCAGATCCGAAATCATCTGGTAGAGTCTTCAGAAAGCGAAGCGGAGCGGTCTCGTCTCTTGGCCAGTTGTGAGCCAGAGTCAGGATACTGGTTAAATGCTATTCCATCGTTTAGCGTAGGTACGCTTCTGGAGAGGACTACTTTTAGTTTGGCGGTGAGCTTACGTCTTGGGGCCCGGACGAACGAACCCCATCGCTGTCGTTGTGGGGTAGACGTCGATCCTCTTGGTCATCACGGTTTAGCATGTCGTCGCAGTGCAGGACGCATTCCGCGCCATGCCGCTTTAAATGACGTCATCCGTCGAGCCCTTGCCTCTTCCGGCGTGCCGGCAGTGCTTGAACCCAATGGCATTGCCCGAGACGATGGCAAGAGGCCCGACGGTATGACGCTCATTCCGTGGAAAAACGGGCGGTCACTCGTGTGGGATGCCACATGCGTGGACACTGTTGCTCCATCCCACGTGAGAGCGACCGCTCGTAAAGCCGGCGCAGCTGCGGCGACAGCCGAAATCAATAAAAGGCGTAAATATGCGGCGTTGGCAGATCCGTATATATTTGCGCCTTTTGCCGTGGAGACCTTGGGGCCTTGGGGTGCGGAAGCCCGTCGCCTGTTTAAGGAGATTTCCGCACGCCTCATCGACGCCTCAGGGGATCCAAGGGCTGGCGCGCATTTCGGCCAAAGGTTGAGCCTGGCCATCCAACGGGGAAATGCCGCCAGCCTCTTGGGAACCCTACCGTGCGACCGCAGCGATTTGGGGTCGATTTTTTATATTATTTAGTTTTATTTTTAGTTTGGTTTAGTTTTAGTATATAGTTTATAGTATTATTTTGGTAGTTTAATTAATTAGTTTTATTAAATACGCTAAGTTCATTAATTATTGTATAATAATAAGTATAGTTCATTAAGTCTATTATGATATTAGAAATAGTTGGATCCAGTATTTATTTGTTCAGTTATATTTTACAATTTATAAAAATAAATATTACTTTATTTTCTTAAATAATTTAAAGTGTTTAATAATATCATATTTACCTTAATTTTATCAGTATTTATAAAATGTAATGAAAACTATTTAAAAATATTTACTATTAAATACAATTATTACTCTTAAATGAATGTTCACTGGTTTTATTACTTCCATAAATTAGATTTAAAACGTTGTAAAAATGTAAACAGTACGAACAACTTACCATTAGCTGATACGACGCTAAAACCTTGCTAAGCAGATAGAGCCTATTGGTTAAATAAAAATGTAATAAATTACTAACCATTATATACAAGAACTTGAAAGAGAAATCTATTTGTTAAACCGACATAAGGTAACTTGTTAACAGATAGTGCATGAGTCAGCTTAAAAGTCGTCAACAACTTTGCGGATCGCAAGACCGAGTGAACCGTTCCGTGCGACATAACAAGAAGCATATCGTAGGCATATCAAAAGACCAAACATTTTCTATCATCAATCACTTCGCTCAACGTAAATAAAACCGCAGCTAAACTTGTCATCTGCCAATAAACTGTGAAATCAGTCTTCCAGCTTCTATGTTTGTATGTTTCCTTTCCATAAACTAAACTGCATTGAATCTTCTGCTATCTCTTGTTCTGTTCCCGTACAGGCTGGTCTCCGCGCCGTAGCAGCTGTTCCGCCTCGCGCGGGTCTCGAGCCGGTGCCGGCGCTCGTGGCTGTGAGAACGCACGCGCACAAGGTGTCCGCCCTCTGTCGTGTGGTTGACGGACGTCTCGTAGATGCTGGAGTGGTCCCTGCAGTACCTGCTGGTGGATCTCTTCACCTTCCTGCAGCACAGGGTCTCCCGGAATGCCGCCTTATATCTGGTGTCGAAATATACCTATTAAATATAATTCAAACAGTGGCAAGCGCAAGCTACATACGTTAGAAATGAAACGTCTCGTCTTCTAATCGAATGAAAAAAAAACTGCACAATTTAGTAAGTACGGATTTAGTTAGATAAGCGCAAAGGAATGCTAATCATCCTAACGACTATCTTTGAGTGTCAGTGTGACAGTATAATACAGGTGTGGTCTCACCGTCGGCTCATGCTGTTGTAAAGTATGGGGTTGACAGTCGCGGAGATGTAGTAGAAGACGCCGGCGACGTTAAAGAGGCTCTCGTTGATAGCGTGGTAGTACCGTGAACCCGTACCGTAGATGAAGAATAGCCGCTGGAAATGAAACGGCGCCCAGCACACGTAGAACGCTACCACCACCGCAGCTGTTCAACAAACATTCAATAATCACATCGAAACGCAATAATACCAAAAACCATGACACTCAGGGAAAGTTAGTTGTGTAATACCGAGCATTCTGATGATGTTCTTGCGAGACTGCGCCTGGCGAGCCTCGCCGTGCACGCTGCCGTTGACACCGTGCAGCGTGCCCGGGCTGCCCGGCATCGGAGGTTGTGTCGATCTGAACCGAGTAGAAACTTTCTTAAGATTTGTTATTTGTTAAAAAAAAGTCCGTGTGATTAGTGAGCTTGTTCCCTTCCTTTGCGACGAGGTTGATGGAACAGCTATACTCACCCCATGACATACCTGATGCGGAGCCCCATGCGGACGTACAGGCAGAGGATGATGATGCCCGGCAGGATGAAGAAGAACAGGCTGCTCAGCTCGCAGATGTACCACGACGGTAGCTCCAGCATCGCGCAGAAGGCAGACTCCATCGACGCATTCCCTGAACCTATGAGACGCGTGAAAATTGTTTGTTCACTTTAATGAGAAACGAATTGTTTGAACGAGCTAAACTTAAAACAATATCAGCTGTTATTAAAGCAACTCGTTTAAAATTCTGTCTTTGCTGACGTCACATTAAATATACAAAGTGCACAGAAAATTGAAATAACTACTACATAGATAAATTTTGCATCACGTTTAATAAAATTTCATTTACCTGGGTAAACAACTGTACGTTACGTTACACTCACAATAACTAAGTAACCTTAATTTATTTTGTGCCCAACTGAAACAAACTAAACGATAGTTGTAATTGTTTATCAAAAGTAAAGCTAAATTAAATCACAATACTATTTGGCACTTTAGGAAACTCACAAAGGTAGCGATAATATTGCTAGAAACATTTAAAGGTATTTTCTTAAAAGATTTTCACACCCGGTAGTAAATGTATTGCCGCGACGCCAACAGGGTATCCACACGTGACCGCGCTGACGAGGCGATGATGTAACAATAACCTTATACCATATATATCAACCAAATGTTTCTGAATAGGATTGTGGTAGACGATGACTCACCGGGCGGGTAATGGTGGTAGTTGACGGTGGTGTAGTGGGCGAAAGGCGCGGCGGCGAGCAGTGCAACAGCCCACAGCGCGGCCACAATGCGCAGCGCACGTCGCAGTCCAGCCACCGCGTAGATGTGCAGCGGGTGGCAGATGGCCAGATACCGCTCCAGGGTGAAAGCCACGATTGTCAGCACAGACACATATGAAGCCCTGATCAGTACACACCGAATTAAATTTGCTTCCCACTAAGAATGTAATCAAAACAAGTAACAAGATTTCGACCTTCGAACTATATTGTGAGAATCAGAAATGAAATTTCCATAAAATGTATAAGACAGCAAGGTAAACATGGCGTATTCGCTCTTCTGTCGTTTATCGTTTATAAATTAAATGTACGTCGATTCCAAATCAATATATCAGTTCTATCTGATCTTCTATATATTGTCGTACTGTACTACCGTGATATAGAATATTTGGTTTACATATACATAACTTTGTATACATAAGTAAAAAGGTTTAAAAACTAATTTTATACCAAATAACAAATTGCTTCTTACCAAAAGATGAAAGTGTATTTGTCGTGTTTATATTTTGTTATTAAAGTTATAAAGATGCCGGCAATAGCTTATTAAGAAAATAAACATGCCTTGTTCGCTGAAATTGTTTGCTTAGGATCGCATTAAACGCGCTTTGCTCCACGACATTTAAAAAATCTTTGATAAGATAAATCTACTTTAGACAACCACGATTGAATTTATATAGAATTTTGCTTGACTTTAAGAACTTGAAAGTAAATACATTCGTCAGAAATACACAAAATGTGAAATCCCATTCCCTACTTATTCTTGTTTTGTAGATCTACTGAACTATTGTAGTGAAACAGACATGAGAGCTACACGTTTTAGACAAGAAATATGCAAACAAAATGAATAATAATAATCGGACCCAAATCAATTAACTAGTTACAAAGTTTTGTGCAAATACACGAACAGACGGACGAGGTCAGACGACTCTATTTTATAACAGTAATTTTGATCCTTAAATAGTTTCACGAGTAAAATTAATTTTAGAAATTGTACTTCATAATCAAAAACGTTCAATATAATGATTTTTATTAAAAATTATTTCAAAGTGAATTTTCAAAGCTATATCATAAAACCGTATTTCATTAAACCAAAATCACAATCGTCAATTACAACAGAAATGAGTTATTTTTTGGTAACATAAGCAGTGACTTAGTGTAGATTTCCCGAACTAAATCTACACTTAAGTACTCCTTTAGTCACCAATAAAAGTAAAACGGGCTGTAAGCTATCTATGTTATATTACATTAAACATTAATTATCTTTGATAAAAGTAAAGTATACATTTGAATATTTCATAAAGAAATCATAAATTAAGGGTACCGAGCATTGAGGACGAGCTTTAAGGAGACGCAATATCATTTTATTAAGTATATCCAAGGTTGTCCTATTTTAGTAAGTCTAGTAACGAAAGGGCACCCTAGGGGGCGCCTCGCTTCGCCCGTTACTCTTGATGAACTGAAACTGTAGCTCGAACAGTCCCAAGTGTAGCGCACGACGCATCAATCTGTGTCATACAGACACATAGAAATCTTTATAAGTATATGCAATTTGGAATGCTCTTGTTGACTTGTTTAATTCTATTTTAAGACGGTTTACTGTGACATGTGTGATATGTAGATAGCGTAAAATGGATTATAATAAATGAAGTGCCAATAACCTATAGTTAAGTCACGTGATCGTGGGTTCAAATACCACCATTGGATTGTTATCGTAAACCATATCGTAGCGCAAGCATAGAACTTACTTGAAATGGTTACAAGATTTAATACTAATTTCAAATAATATCCTAAATTATTATTTGAAAAATATTATAATAATATAAAAGTAGTGCCTACTATCTCTACTGTCAGTGCAGGAGACATGCAATTCACCAGTAATATACTTACGATAAAATTACATATATAATAAGTGTATGTGTGCGCGTGTGTGTGTTTGTGTGTGTATGTGTACTCACGCTTCAGATATGAGTGCGCGGAACTTGCAGAAAACGACCCCGAAGCTGTAGGGATACTGGTGCCAGTACACCCACAGGTCGTTGGGGAGACCTGGACAGTGCACACAGACAACATTATCATTTGAACTATATCCGTTGTAATGCTGACAGAAAATATTTGCCATGTTTATGTTTACATTCCATTGTGACATATAGCCTTAAATGGCTTGACCTATTTTGAATTATGAAATTGATTACTAACGCCTTCATCTTCATTTAATCAAACATAATAATAGAATTAAAAAAAACACAAGTAAGACAGACATAAAAAGAAATAAGAAAGCGGTTGTAATAAGCCTGCGGCGTACCCAAGTAATAAGTATTAAAATTTTACGACTACACCAGCAGTCCCTCGTCACTGCAATACTTACAAACGGCACACCTCCTGCCGACTGCAGTTTCCCTTTCCACTCACATAAAAGTCTATTTAATAACAAAACAATAAAATAGAATGAACGAGTGCGTCGCATCGCCTTAGCAATTCAATCAACTATCATCTGCAATAAAAACAATTTTATTGCTGAAAAAATCAACGAGAGGAAAAATAAACAGTATAATAAAATGGTAAATCTATAACCTACACAAGTACTTTTACCACCTAACTCTATAATAAATCCTTAATTGAAGATAACGTTATATACTCTACGTACATCCAAATAATAACGCCAAGTTTACGGAAATACTAGCTATAGACCGCGACTCCGTCCCGCCGACTTAAATTTATTTAATGAGTAGCCTATGTGTTCTTCCAGACTACATCTGTACCTTTTTTTTAAGATCCGTTGAGCCGTTCCGAATATATGTACCTTATAACAAACATCCATCAATTTGCCAATATTTTTGCTATAAAATATAAACATTAAATGAGAGGTAAATGTTCTAATGCGTTGTGTTATATAAATGACTTAATTTATTACATACATTAATTAATACAATGTTACACCTTGCGCATAGCCACATTGAACAATCATCATACACTGAATAATATTATATTAATAACATATATCGATATTAGTTGCAATAAATAATTAAAAACTTTGTCAAACGCTATGTCAATTTAGTTTATAATATTATGGCAACAGATGGCGGAACATATTGTTTAGATCGCGATATCAATTTATTTAGTATATTTATCGACTTGCCGATCGCATATCAATAAAGTTGACTCGCACCAAGATATAACCAGTGTTTCATTGTGACTACTCGATACATCTCCAGTGAGAGGGAGACTTTTTGGGACTGCTTTACATATATTGTAGATTTTTGCGGAAACAATTTGTTTTTAATGAGCTTTTAACTTTTGAGAAATGAAGCTTTATCAAAATAATAACAAATGTAATCATCAATTTCCTTCTGTTTTATTAACAGTAAGGAAAATAATTCCATTTTTCATATTTGATTATACGCAAGCCGCTTCTTGCGGCATCTTAAATTAAAATTTTCGTCAAATCCCCTTCTTTCGGTTTATATTTTTGCAAATATAAGAAATTAAAAATATTATTATACCTTAATAAATTAATTTTGAGAATATTCAGTTGTTCGTTCTACTACTCTCTATATACTATTTATTGATATAATATTACGAACATCCAATCACTTGGCCGCAAATTCTAATGCCACTATTGATCTATTGCCGTGATCAATATCCTAGTACAAGCCTTGAAACGCACAACATACTCAGAGCACACTTCCTCGGAATGGTTACCAGAATTATTAGCAAAGTTTAGTTAATCCTTTTTTTTTAAATGAAAAAGGAAAAACATATCTCTCAAGTTTTTCGACCCTCCTCTTAATCTTTTCGATTCAATTTCACTAAAAGGTGTACAACCATAAAATCCTAAACTCGCATGCACACAAACTCACCAACTAAATGGTTATCGACGATTTCTATCAGACCAATACAGTTCCAGAAAGTTCCTAAAAATATCGTAAGTTCGTCTTACAGCTAACTAGACAATTAGACTTTTATCTTAATAGAAGATCCGAGTTACCCCGTGACAGGAATAAGGAATTAAACTTTCCGCCAGGGTTTTGCGTCTTGATATCATATAAATTTTACCAACAATATATAATATTTATGAGAATTTTTGCACTATCATTAAATCAAATAACGATAACCGTTTCTTAATGTTCAATTACAAGCTAATTTAAGACCAAAGCTAATAACAATAAACAAATAATTCTATCCATAAAGGGCAACAATAATATCCAAATTAAATCGGTTAAGAACAAGGTAACCTCAAGTCTCCAGGGACGGTTCTGATCTATTTACAATACGAAATAATATCATCCATTGAAAGCTTCGAGTCGCTTTAAAATATCACAACATTTACCCAAGTTTTATTCGAAATTAATAAAGCTCATATCGTGTACAGTTGCGCGTTCACATTCCAAGCTTTTGTACACTTTTTTGTTGCAAAAGCAATTTTAATTTAACTAGGTTGCTCCGCGTACGTTTACATTTTTGACACGAGTAAAAAATATAAAAAAGTCTAACTTTCACCGTCTCTAAAGGGTAAATATCAGTTTTAATATCATTATATTATTGATAGAATTAATAAAGAACACTACACCTCCAAAACGCCCCGCAAGATATATCATTATGGGCCGTACTCGCCTCGCTAAAGGCGTTACGTTCCTTCACAAAGCAAAACAAAATACTGGCAGACAAATATAAGAAATGTCTATTATAAAAACTCTTTTAACATAAGAATATTTTAATGTTCGATCCCAAATATAAAACCCTTCAATAGGAAATCCCTTTCCCGATACTTAAGTGGCGCCGTTTCATTTATTCAGTACCAAGGTTGGAATTTATTATCCGATTCCTCAGGCGCGGTATTACATTCCTCCAGCATTCCAGCGCGGCTCGCGCACCATATGTTATTGAAAAGAAATTACACACAGATTTTCATCATTTTAAATCTCTCGGTAATCTTGAGAATTATCTGGGAAGATAAAACTTGTTACTTCTAATTGAAATATGTTACTTTTATAATATACTTTTAACAATTTAAGCATCTAAAGTTATGGCGACATTACACACTTACGTACATACGTTCTAGGACCGTGGATTTGAAGCTCGACTAATTAATATCAATGAGTAGCATTTGTTCAAATTATAAAGTATTGCATTATTTAAAGTAAAACTAATAAAGATCCGATATTATTATACAAATAACCTTAAAACTTCAAATAAGCGTGGAATAAATAATTATAATTTGTATAGCCTTAAACTATCTTTTAAGAATAGCATCTCACTCAGTCTACTTATTTGTGCGTTGCAAAAATTAAGCAGAAAATATTAAACATAGAAACGACGCTGTGAGTACAAATTAAATTAACTTTAAGGGACGGCCTCATGACGCTTAATTGAAATTCCAGATCGTAAAAACGAGCCTCCTGCTGATACAACCCTCGTGCATTATTAACCAACAATAACCTCTGCTTAACATTATAAACCTACATAAGTTACTTAGTTAAAACTTGTTAGAATAAGTAGATAAAGTTATCAGAACTTCTTAATCTTACTAAAAATTATCTTAAAAGAACCTGCCTTTTTTTAAACTCACATTTCTTTATGTTTCAACTTTAACTATTAAATTTCTAAATTCAATGCCATGTGAAAAGACATTAAAATGTAAAGCAACTATCACATGATGATGTAGAATTAATTGTTCCCATCGACAATAAATAAATATGTAAATAAAATCACTAAAGCTACATCTAAAGCACCAAAACTAATCATGCTGATCCACCGAGTGCATAATTAAACGGCGGTTTGTGAATCGTCCGCACATCATACGTTCATTATCTATGCACTGTATGCCGCCGCGTGAATAGCACTGCGTTACAACTAATTTGTGGTAAAAACCCAGTTAAATGTTAAATGCTCCAAACCAATCCTAAACAACCGAAACGCGTGATTAATTACAGATTTTAGTTGAAGAGATTAAAAGTATGGTAAACTGTAATTTACCAATCCCATTCACAGCTACTCTATAATATTAGTTTTTATTTTACATAAGTTGAATATATTTTTACATTTCTGTTGATGTTGTTACGAATAAAATTATACAAACACGTCGCTTTGAGTAGGTTCGATGCAAATCACGACGACAATCGTCCGCAAATGTAATGTTAAGAATTTTTATTTTTAAAAATTGTAAAACAAAAGAACAAAGTCTAATTAAATAAGTGACTGTCCTTGCAAAGTTGAACAAATCCTCCCAAAATAAGTTCGGCTTTCAACTTTTAATTTGTTTACCGATAAAATGTTACATGATCGTAAAAAAAACTTCCTTAAGTTGTTTGTTGTTTGAAATGACCGTAATGGCCATTAGCCGCACCTTTTGTTATTATAAAGACTAAGCAAGACGAAGTCACTCAGTTGTACCCATCCAAGTTACATATTGTTAGCAGATTGCGCTTTTTATTAAAACATAATTACACTAGATGCGTCTACAGAGTTATTATTATTTCCCACATTAATTTCGTTATAAAACTAGGACATAGGAAACTACTTCTAAACTACTTGAAACTCTAATGTCTACTTCAAAATAATGTATATAAAAAGATAAACTAATTACTAGAGAAACTAACTGTGATTAGGTGTCTTATAATAAAAGACTCTACTTTTATCAAGCTGCCTCGGCTCAGTGTTATATTTGTGTGGATTGTCCCTTATGATGTTTGAAATATAATAGTATAGTAGTTAATATTACCAAAAAGCAGTAGAAGCAGATCACTGAGAGCGAGACTGAACAAATAGTAGTTGGTGTCTGTGTGCATGGCGGGATGGCGCACGATGACGACACACACCGCCGCGTTGCCCACCACACCACTCAGGAAGATCAGCAGCAGTACAGCGGACAGCGGCACGATACGGGCAAGCGGCAGCCTCCTGGGACCCATCATACACCACAGCATCTCTGCCTCCGAGCAGTCGAACATGCTTGCGTTCGTGCACCGCTCATAGAAATGCTCCTCCGTCTCATTCGGCCGCAGGAATACCTCAGCCATTTTTGTAATTTATTTAAAAGTTTTTCACTTACATTAATACTTAACAAACTTGACAAACTTAAATTTTGGATCTTAGTAAGCTATTTGGATAATAACTTAAATAATAAATTTCTTATATAAAGAGATTGTTGATTGTAAATTAAATATAAACAGTTAACTTTATTCAATGAAATACAAACACTCAATTTAAAGTTAAGTTTTTATATTTTAATTTGTCTAATTTTTATTGGATAAAAATATAAACTACATCAAATATGTTGAAAAGAAAAAAAAATAGTTGTTTTACTTATTTTAAGCGACGATTATTTCGAAGTTGTTATAAATCGCGTAGCAGCGATGCTACAGCGTAGTGAGTCGCGTCTGCCGTGCGCTACGGTCGCTCAGGCACTGCCCGCCGTCTGCACTCGCCTTCACACAAGCTTTTCTACTTTTGTTATTTTAAAAAGTGCTTATTGCATTACTGGGAATGTTCCATTTTGCTGAAGTTTAAATTAACTTTGAGGTTTACTAAATAAAACAAGAAAATTAAATTATACCAAGTCGTACCAAAAAACATAAATCGCTCCCGACTCTTCTTGCATCTTTCGCATATGACCAAGCTAAACAGAATTACAATTACAAATTTTAAATTAATTCATTGGGTTATTTTAAATATAGATTGTATCTACATGAAAGCAAACTGTTGTAAAATAAAAAGCTTGGTACTCTGCATGCAGGGTTAGCACTGCACGCAACAGGTCGCGTCGCGTCGCTCAGCTTTACACTTTCACTAAATCTTTACAGAGCTTGCCCATCACTCCATTGTATTTACCGTTTCAGTGCTTACATTTTAACCCTTTGACTTATTATTCAATGCAATTTTTTATTATTTTCCTTAGTTTAGCTTAGAGAAGCTGAGTATTTTTTTTTTCTTTTGCAAAATCAGACAACGATTTACAACCGTCAGTGGTTCAATTTTGCTTTATTAATAGTATTTAATATTTTGTTAATTTTACTTTACAACATAATTAAGCAAAATCGACCTATGTGTGTTCTAAAAATAATAAAGAAGTAAATATATTAAATTATAACTCGAAAGAAAAAGAAATCGCGCGTAACTTAATCAGCAGAACCAATAATCCTATTAGATCAGAAATTCCAGCCACCTGCATCTTAATGCTTCGCGAAAAGAAACGTAAAGAAAGCAGAGCACGGTTCTGGTATCTCGCATAATTAATAAAAAGTATGAAATAACGTTACTTATCTTTTAGTAATAAAGAAGCTAGAATACTATTAATTACAACATATTTGTTTATAGAATAGCATTCTCCAAACATTTAAAAAATCGCGACCCTACCAAAACTGACAGGTTTAATTTCAAACTCCATTTGTATCGAATTCAAGACAAAAAAATAAACAACATCAGTCGGCAAAGGGAGGCCATTACGTGAATTACTTTTAAAATAAACCTCTCCGAGTAAAGGGTGCAGCGAGAGAGAGATGTCATCATATTACAAACACACTATCTACGTTCCCGACCTCGTAATCTGGTAAGTACTCCTCCAACTACTTTGAAGATATCTGCTGTTAGAAGATGATTAAACAGAAAACCTATGCACTATTAATCTTCTTTTGTACATCTACATATGTACAGTCAGCTGCGTAAATATGTAAACATTTATAAAACTTCAGAAACTTATAAACTTATATACATTATTACAACATAAAAACGAATACGTGCTTATGTATTTTTGCATCCGAACGCGTATACGTAATTTCTGTAGCTTAATAAATGTCTACATATTTATGCAGCTGACTGTACATATTTAATTGTAGTGTAGTAAAAAAATTAAATTTAAATTAAGTTTTTTTATATCATTCGAGAAAATCACAGAATAATTTTTTTTCAACATCTCACATTAAATGAGATGAGTATTTTTTATAAATAAACTAAGTAAAAAAAAAACAAATCTCAGCAATAAATGTAATTCAGGAACAATTATATCCACTACCAACAGCTTTGAAAAGCCACAAGAGCACTAATCTTCTGGAGTGGCTAACCTCAGTAGACTTCATTAATCATGTATTGAGAAGAGCCACTCACTCGTGTTACATTAATCAGCCTCCGTGTCCTTTCTCTCAAAGACAGCAACAAAAAACTACGTTCAACTGCCTTTCATGATCAATGACTTACATGACTTTATTTTTTGAATCTTAAAGCAAATTTTATTGATTAACTTATAT